TTGTTTCACCATTGTTCTTGGGCTGGGCCTGAGAGGGTCACAAATGATACACTGGCACTGTTTCATGCCAACACAAGAATGGGTGAATAGCATTTGACTCACTAATGAGAAAAAGCTTGAGTGAGGCAGTGCTGGCAATCTGGTCAGAGTCTATGATGCCACAGCACAAGGGGTCTCCATGGCTACCATCTTACCCACAATGCCTCACTCTGAAGAAAGAAAGAGTGGTGGGTTCTCCCCTCTCAGGTGATTGATACAGTGATCCATCCTCAATCTTGTTGGACCTCTGCACTAAAGGACACCAGGAGAGAAATGTAGAGGAGAGACTAACAGGCACAGATGTTCAGGTGGAATTTCTGAAGGAAGCCAAAGCCCACAAGTGATTTTGATACAACACTTTGTTGGTGAAAAACCAAAGAGAGAGGTTAGTAAAGCAGTAAAAGTAGCATTTGGATTCTTTTCCTTTAATTTTTTCCCTTTTGAGCTGTAATAAGAAATTCCTTTCTTTGATTAAACACATCCAAAAGCACAGGGTGCACTGCCTTTAAAGAGAATCTGTTCTGAGCCACTTTCTAAAGCTTTACTTTTTACCATGATGTGCATACAGGAAAAAAAAAATCAATGCCCCCTTTTCCCAGGCTGGCATGTGTAAAACTGCTCTGACTGAAAGAAAATGTCTTCCCACCCTCCAGTGAAATAATGAAGCCATACCATGCCCAGGTGGCATCACATGGCTGATCTTGAAAAAAGAAAGCAAAGGTCCACCCAGTTGGATGTGCGACCACCAGCACATTATAGAGCTGTAGGCTAGACTGGGAAGCTGAAAAAAACACCCTGAAGAAGCTCTACTTTTGTCCCAAACCAAACCAAAATGGATGTGCCCACGTAGCCATCAGGGTGGAACTCAGCTGGAGGGAGACTTTACTTTTTATGCCCAGCAGCAGGAAATCTTATCAGAGGAAATGCTTCCAATCCAATTTCTACTTTGACTTGATATATTCCTGGCAGAGCAGCATCACCAATGCATACTTGCACTCATATTTCTCAGGGTGGAAATTGTGTCGGTGTGGTGTCTGTGAGTCCCAGCGTTGGCAGGGGACGCGTGATGTAGTGACATTCACCGTGCCTCGATAGTCTTCTCCTTTCAGCCTGAAACAGCTGGTTGTAGTAGACAGACGTGGACGTTTCTCTGCTTCCAAAAAGGGAGAATCCATGGAAATCAAATCACAAAGTGTATCACAAATCCACCTCAGCACGAATCCAGCAAACATTCATAAGTGAGACAGAAAAACAGCAGTACATTCATCCTGAACTTACATCAAAGCTGCTGGAAAAGAACGTTTTTACTTGTTCAAGATTCGAGGTTAAAAAATTGTAAAGTTTACGTTCCAGTTTCTATTAGGTGTAATCTACAATTACAAAATGGATTAGAGACTACCGAATGAGCAAAGAGAGAGTGCATTGTGCAGACAGCGTTGGACACGTCAGTCCCATCCACCAAATGGTTTTTTTAATGGTGCAGAACAGAGCAGGGATTACCTGGTGTCCAGCCTTCTCTGTCTCTATTCTGCTGCTGTTAGGCACATTAAAGGGGTAAGGCTGGAATAACCAAAGGCCGCTCCCTCTGGGACTGCCCCTGCTAATTACAGGATTGTTTTCAGAGGCTCTGGAAAGTTCTGGCCTTTTGAGAGAGAGATAACGGACATTGGTGCTATTAGGCCCTCTGCCCTTTTATCTCTAGCCTGTTGTTTATAACTCTCTCTGTTTATGCCTGTCTTCGTCCCGTTGGCTAGTTAGATGTGTTTAGACTGTTGTAGATGTTTAATAAGTAAACTTCAAGCTATATTTTTTGCTAGGTGAACTGAGTGGCACACGCGCTTGCTCTGATCTGGGTACAGGGATTGACTGGGAGTGTGCCGGATGCAAACTGAACTAGAAATTACCCACAGCAACTTAACAGTGCTGAGGAGTTCTACATTGCATTTTGTCATATTAAGAGACAGATTTTGTGCATCACAAAATAGTAGTCATCAGAATATTCTTTTTTCCCTTCATTACATGTAACTTTGGTAAATGCTATTATTCAGGTTTGTCCTCCACATATGTTCTCAAATTCCCCTTGGCATCTCAAAAAGAGACTATGACCGATCCTCTCATGATCCAAACCCATGCTGGGTTCAGATCACAATGACTTTTTTTAGCTCTCTGAGACTGATATATTTCCAAATAGGCCCTGGAACCTCAGAGGGACTTACTGCATTTATGAATGTGGCAGAATTCACGCTCCTTGGCAGGATCAACTGTGTAACACCAAGGTTGCTCAGAGCTGTCAGGATTACGGCAATAATTGTCAGCAAGGCCTTTATCTGGGTATCTTTGGAAAAAAAACAGCAGAGAGAAGGAAGAATTAAACTAAAATACTACTCTCAGTATTTCCCTTAAGGAGAGACAACACTGCAGGTGTCATACTTCATACAGGAAAAGAACATGGTTTTCTGATCAGGCGCACCCATCCACCACTCACTTCAGGAAAGGCCAATGATATTTTTCACAAGTTAGATACGCATAATTGCAAGTACATTGAAACTGCTGAGCAACACACTTCATAACCATGTAGGGTTCAGGATCAACCCGTGAATGAACCAAGGGGGCAATCTTAAAAGAGGCAAACTACGGTGACTTGTTCCAAGAGCAAATAGAAAATGTCAGCAGCTTGGAACCAGCCCTCTGGCAATTCCTTTAAGTTCTCAGTATGGTGCTACGCATACAGCTGCATATTGCAAATATTGCAAACATGATTTTCATTCACATTTCTGGAAAAGGATTGGTCAACAGTAAAGCCTATGGATTGGCAAAACCTAAACAATTCATTGAATGAAGAAGACTTGATTCCATCAGTCTTAATTCAGTTACTAGCTGCAGCCAAAGGGAAGACATTTGTTTGGTTCCCATTTTAAAACAAGTCAACATAATGTGTATTTTCTGAACAAATACAAGAGCAGAAACTAAATTACCAGATATTTTTTTCATCTGTTTGAATGTTGTGATAACAGTTCTCTCAAAAATGCAAGAAAAATGCATACATTAAATTGTGGAGAGAAATGCAAACTTTTGTTTTATTTTTATAAAAAGCACAGTGTTCTGAAACTCACTGAACTTGTATTCATAATGCCAACATCAGAAGAAAAAAACAGACCTTTCTGGTTGCTATAAATGTGGTGTTTGTTCATTGTATCAAACTGGAAGCAGGCTTGTGGAAGATGATAGAGACATTATAAATTTGCTTAATAAATAAATAAATAAATAAAAATTTTAAAAATTGAAAGCTGCCTTGTGCCTTATACCAAATGAGACTACAGCAGTGGTCAGTTTAACTCAGCTTTGCCCATCCTAACAACAGTTTTCAGGCAGAAGTTTTAATATATGTGAAATGGAACAAACCAATCCTAATTTCACATATATACCAACCAACAATGAGTGGCCAAGAAGGATTATGTCCAATGCAAATGTAAGCCAATGTACAGCTGCAGTGGGGGAAAAACAGTTTCCATATTGAAGATCATTAGAAAAAGACTTGAAAGTAAAACTGTCAATATTTTAACCCTCTTAAACAAAACTATGATGCAACCATACGTAGGATACTATGTACAGCTCTGGTTACTACATTTGGGAATGATATTGCAACTCTTCTCTGATACAGGTTATTATTTATAATTTCATTTTTTATTTATATATCTTATTTTCTACTTTTCTCTAATGAGCAGTTGCAAAGGCTGGGTCTTTTGAGCATTTGAAAAAAAAAAGGATTAATAAGAGGGGACCTGATATGGTGTGGTGAAAATAGATAGGAAGATGTTTTTCTCCCTGTCTTAAAATCCTGGGGCTTTGGGTAACTCAACAAAGCTGAATGATGGGAGATTTGGGCATGATCAATGGAACTACTTTTCCAGGCTAAATGTAGTTATGCTGTGAAATTTGCTGCTAGATTAAGTAATTGCTACCAATTTAGCTTTAAAAAATATAAAGGATTAAGGATATCAAAGCGTGCCAGTCACACTGTTATATATTGATGCCTGTGTATGAAACACAAGCACACAAGTGTAACCAGCCTATGAGTTTTCCGAAAGTAAAGGCCAGTAACTGGCCTCTGTGGCCACAAAATTCTGAACTAGCCATTGGACCTCTGATTTAACAAGGTTCCTTTTACGCTGCTATGTATCCATGCTGCCCTGAAGATGCCAGAATTTGAACCTGGAAGTGTCTGTGTATGCACTGTATGCATTTCACATTAGTGTGAACAGGGTTTATGACAACTGCAGTCATTACTGATACAAGCCAATTCCTCTGACTGATATTAATAGCTCTGTTTCCTTAGGATTTCCTTATCCCTTAGGAAGTACCACCATGGGAATACTTTACAGAAAATGCCCTTTCTCTTGCCCCTTTATAGATTACACAATGTCTAGAACTCAGTACTTGTTTGGCAGGTATGGGTGCTTGTGAGGGTGCTGCAGGTCCCAGCGTTGGCACTCTGTGCCGGACATGGTGTGATCAACAAATCCCCGATAATCCTCACCGTTACATGACATACAGACAGCTGGAAGGCAAAGACAGAGTATCACTATAGGAGCTATGGAGTAAGAATCGCTTAGCATCTAGTCAGCCCTGCAAGGTTGTCCAGATCAGGAAACCAATTCCACAGGAAAACTAGAACTATCTTTTATTGAAAAAGACAATAGTAATTTGCAAATCTGACTGTGTTTTTCCTTCCTTCCCTCTTATACTTTGGGGACTCAGCAGGGAGCCAATCTCAGTCTCTTTCGAATATTTTCCCTTCGCCCTGGGCTCAAAGCATGCTTATGCATCTGTTACTGCCTTAACGGCAAATCATATCCGTGGCTCCCTACGCATTTCTGATTACCCGGCCCCATTGAACAGGTGCTGCTTGCACCTTACTGTAACTTCCACTTCCTTCAGAAACAGAACTCGTTCCACCTCGCCCCATCCATTTGACCCAATGCGTGCGGCAGTCATCCACAAGGTGAACATCATTTTTCCTGTCTAGCATGAATGTCTACCTTCATTACTGATGAGGGATTCTGTGCATACTACTATTTAAAACTAAAAATAAACATCAACAGTGCAAAAGCATACATGTCTGAACAATAAAATTACACAGGATGCTTGTATATACTTATGTGTGCCCTGCAAATATTGTAAGTCAACTTACTTACCATTTTCACATTTCTTGATGCCACAGCTTTGATGCCGGGTAGTAGGGTCAGTTGTGTAGCACCAGGGGCCGTGTTCATCTCTATCTGGATTCCGGCAATAATTTTCTTCCAAACCGTTATATGGGGATGGACGGTACCTTAAGCAACAAAAAGGCAACAGGAGGAGGCAAAGAAATGGAAATTTTCTCATTAGTAATTGATCTAGATTTCACTGCAAAATCAGTGTCCTTTGGTTATATAACCATAACTCTCCAATTCTGCAGTTTCAATAAATGGTGCAAATCATACAAGTTAATATACATTGGCTTGTCCTACATTTTGTGGGAAATTATTTTGAACCAATACCTTGAGAGGATCAATGCTTGCGTCCCTTTTTTTTAATGTGGGATGGGGAGATGGATGGATGGATGGATGGATGGATGGATGGATGGATGGATGGATGGATGGATGACAATAGAAGATAGATAGATAGATAGATAGATAGATAGATAGATAGATAGATAGATAGATAGATAGATAGATAGATAGATAGATAGTGTCATGAATCATGAGTCAGAGTCAGACTGAATCATGGCTCATGACAGATAGATAGATACCAAATCTTTTTATAATGGTCTTAGACCAGCACAAAAACAGCCTATAATGGGACAGGTCTATGGGGGGCGGGGGGGGGGGATATTTTCTCTGTTGTCTTCCCTCACTACCATCAGCTAAGAACTGGAATAATAAAGGAAGAGTTTATTCAAGGGAAATGGAGACCAGTAAAAGTTCTGCACAGTGAAAAAGACTAGTATCTCCTAATTATGGTTTGGCTGCATTGATTTTCTGTTTGTTTCCTTGCCATCTGCACCTCGTTTTCCCAGGACAAGGTAATGCTGCTCTTGGCAGGAATACCTAGCACCACAGCCTGTGACAAGGTCAGACCAAGCAAAGTAGAGAGATTCAGTTATGGACAGCCTCTGACTTGCTCAACAAAGTAGCACTTTTGTACAGAGCACAATTCCTTAAGCCAGCTTTCCAAAATGAGATTCTTCCTGGATGCATTAAAGCTTCCTTTTCATAAAACCTGGCTAGCTTTAGAAAGCACCAGCAAAGCCAAAGGGTAATCACTAAGCCTCACTGTGCATAGGATTGTGACCATAATAAATAGTATAGATTACTAGTGCAGAGATATATGTCTTATAAGAATCTTGAAGCTACTAGATTATTGTTGTATATTTTTGAAGATTTTTAGTCGGGTGTCCCTTCGGTCCTACTCTTACCTTCCCATTGGCCTCAGAAACAACAACAACAATACAGGGAAGCAATGCCTCTCTGCCCACACAGTACCCATTTCTTCTTATATTATTTGATTTGATGTATTTATACATTGCCGTTCAAGACGTTCAAGGGGTGGCATACACAGATTTACCTGTGATCATGAGGAAATTTTAGCTGCCATTGTTGACATATTTTTCCCTTTTCAGTCACGGACTGGATCCCTCTGTAGCTTGTCCCATCTCCTATGATGCATTTCCTTACATAACCTGTGAGGTGATAGATGAGAGAGAACTCCTTATGCAAGATGGTATGGGAGTCAAAGGAGAGTGGAGTTACTTATTTGGGAATGTGGTCATTGATTTATTTTGGGTGACAAGAGACAATTCTATCATGAGTCCAAGAAAAAGAAAGACCACCCATGTGTATTTCTTAGTTATGTAACATGTGGGTCACCACTGGCCACCTCTTTCTTCAGGACACTGTCTGGAAAGGTGAAGGGATCTTTTTGTCCCAGCTGCCCAGTCCTGGGAACAGCATGAGGTACAACTTTTTCCAAAGACTGTTGTTTGTTTATCAGATAATAGAGGCATGCGGGCTGCTTAGCTGTGAACAAGGTTGACATCTCTTAGATCTAAGAAGGAAAACACACAAACCCAGATGCAACAACCAGTGTTGGACCAAAAATATCTTGCTAACTCAAGGTTGCTGATAGAAAGTAGTGGGGAAAGTGGCCCGTCAGGGTTCCCCATTAAGTTCATAGGGCCTCAAGCAAGGCTTTACTCCAAAGTCTCAACCTGTGTGTCCCCTCCAACAAGATAAGACTGCACAAAAGATTTATGGAGCCTTCAATAAATTTGATGCTGAGGACTCTTGTGCTGCCTCCTGTAAGGACCTACATAGGTGTATATGAAATAAGGGACCACATATGTGAATTCTTGCATTCACAGACCACAGCAGCTGTGGCAGAGGTCAGTTTTCTCCAGATGCCCTCCCAGCAGTTGAGAGCAAGTGGGTGATCAGGCAGATGCTTAGGTTTCATCAGATATTAAGAAGGAGACGGATGTGCACACAGTTAAGCATATTAGAGAAGGCAACTTCTATTTGCTTGGGAGCTTATAAATCAAGACAGGAGAAGTGTGTTACAGTTGGCTTGGTGGAAGAACATTCCTTCTATAGTTTTTTTATGCAGAGCCTATTTACCCCTTTTCCTCTTTCCGCAACCCAAGTCCGAAATAAGTATCCCCGTGTAATGTTTAGGTCATCCGGCCAAAGGAGGCACAAATACGCATTTCCATTTCCCCTCTCTTACTCTGAAAGCACTGCCTGGTCTTTCTCACATTCCACTTCCATGCAGACCTCCAGCCTACCTTTCTTCTGGTAGAGGTCATAATGGACGTTCCTCTGCAACTGGGTATGCGGTGAATTTTGGGTCACAGTCAGCAGCTGGCATTCACGCCTCTGCCAGTTGTAATGAAAGGCTCTGGAGGAACACATACACAGCAGCTTCATTCGATACCCTTGGCAGGAGAATTGCTCATTTGCCTACACCTTTTGTACTCAGGCCAAGATCCGTATGCATTCTTGGCTAGAGTCTCTACCCCAGCTCTAACTTTCTACTATTTCATCAGCCTTCACATTTAAGATATAGAAGATTTCAGTTTTCCTAGCTCCTGCTTTTAGTTACTACTATCTTGAGTAGTGCCATACCCTTCTGGTAAATATTTATCCTACTATTACTGCTTTCAAGTCATTCTTGACTCCTGGCAACTGCCTGGACAAGTCCCTGCAGTTTTCTTGGCAAGGTTTTTCAGA